TTAATATAAGTTAGGCAGCAATCACAACCAAGTGACCAAGCCTGCAGTGTGGGATGAAAATGCTACTTAAAAAACAGCGAGGATTGATGACTTGCAGCATAATGATTATTTAGTAAGATGCATTCTAGCGGACTTCAGAAAATAATGGGTCTGGTCTTGCTGCTAAACTGAGTTTTCAGTGTCTGTGTCTGTCATGGGGAGAAAGGTACTCTGTAAGTTTTTGGAAATTATTTCACAAACGAGATTGTTTTCTGACATATTATGCCTTCTGACACTGATGACAAAAACACAGCAAGAAGAATTTCAAGAAGTCATTGGGGTAAAAGAAAAACTGCAGTTCAGCTGTGAGGAAGAAATTTCCCTTTTCATGTAAAGCTATCATTCTATTTAAGGTTAAAACTCATTTGGAACTTTCCTAATGAAAAATTTTGCAAAGGATTCATTTCCGTTTTCTTTTATCGTTATTGTTTGGCAGTCAAGGTTGCAGCTAGATCGCGCTATCCCAAAGACCTATTTGAGTTCAAGGATACAGCTCACAATTCTCGGCTTGTGACCGAGCCAGGTGAAGGAGTTCTGGAGCCCGTCCTTTTAATAACTGCACCCCTCAGTGTTCTATCTTAACATGCTGAGCTCAGTTGAAGAAGAAAGATGTACTATTGTCGATTTCAGCATGCCTTCAGCTTGTTGGGCAGCAAAGTATGAAAGAGAAAAGCCGTAGAATACAATAAATAACAATTAAAGCGACCCTGCCCCCAAACTAGCAGCTTGCTCAAGACTTTAGTCAGAAGCCCTGTTAGCTAGATGCCTTTGCATTCAAGCCACTTTGCATGCCGCTCACTCTGAGTGATTCCAGTGTGAATATGACATTACTAATGACCTGCTAAGTGTGTGCAGATGTGGGTTTCTCCAGATGTGGTGATTCATAACGTAATGGAGATAGCCAGTCGACTCATGTTTACGGGTTGTTTGCCTTTTATTGCAGTTCCGAATTTATTTGCTTTGAACTGTTTTTTAACTCCAGCCAACAAATTACCTTTAAGTGTCAAAGGGCTTCAGCCCCCCTACACCCTCTTGAGGAAACAGGGAAGAAGGAATGTGCCCCAGGCTGGCGCTGAACATAGGATCCATCATGTCAGCACTGGGTTATTTAGGAAAGCCGAAAGGTGGAATCCTGGCTCCATTTCCTTCAAAAGGCCCGCAAAGAGGTGTTGGTAACCCTGACACAGTGTTTGCAAGCTGGCTAGGCCAATAAAAAAAAGATATTTCTTTTTAAAATAAAATCCAGTAAAATATAGGATCATCTTGAAATAAGCCCAGAGTTCTGGCCAGTGTGTCTGGAAGATGTTGCCTTGTTTTTGCTTGAAAACAGAATGCCGATGAAGAGTCAAGTAAAATGTTGTTACAGATGTTCGACTCTGCATTAAGGCTGTTGGAATTACCACCACATCTTAAATCAATTCCCAGAACATTGTCTGGAGGTTATGTCATTGAAATAATGAATCCTCTTTAGTCAAGTATAAGCAAACATGTTAAAACATCATTGTAACTTTAAATTAAACTCTAGCGCAAACCAAGGGATCTGAAGCCTCATTAGACTTGCCTGACATTTTTCTAGCACTGAGTCTTCCTAAACTGTAAAACTGTTAGATTCAGTGCCTATTAGACAAGTGAGCGCTGGGAAGTTACAACAGCACATTAAGTGTTATACTTAGGGATGTGCAAAAACAAGCCCTTGAATTTTATGAGGACTTGGGAGACTGGATGGAGTTCAGCTCCTATAAAAATTCCACATCAGATTCCTGAACTTGTTTGTGTTTTAAAGAAGCTGGTAAGTCAGATTCCTTTCAGAGATCATATCTTCATGCACTTCCACAGCGTGATGCAGGTGAAAATGCTGGAGACAGAGGTCTATTGTAATTAGTCAAAAAGCAGGCTAAGTAGGAGCCCAAAAATTGCATTGGCATAAGGTAGTGGCCAATTACTTCAATACATTTGTCTCTCATGAAAGTAAGTAAATTTAAGTCTCCTTTTTAATTCAATTTTTATTCCTTTCATAGAGTCACAGAAGCCATGAAATGAAAATTATATTTTATAGCTTAACTAAAAGTTTTTCTAGGTCTGCTTTCTTTAAATATGCAGAAATTGATAGAATCCATATAAAGGCTAATAATTAAATATGGTTTATAACCTACTTATGAGAAAGAACTTATCACTGCTTCTCTCGTGGGACCTACGCCATATGTAATGGTCTCCATTACCCAGCGTTCATATATTTAAGCTGAAGACATTTCCCCCTGTTTCTTCAGGGAACAGATCTGTATTTCTACGCCTGTGAGTGCAGGAGGAAACCTTTGAACATGAGTTTCATTTAAGAGAACAAATCCCAGTTTAAATGCAGCATGATTATGATGGATGATCTTTCTGAGGTGCAATGAAAATAAATAGTTTCCTTGCATAGAAGGAGGTATAATTTTAGCGCTAGAACCAAGTGTCTCCCTGGAGCTGGGTAACAGGTATTAACTTACACGTCTTCCATCTGAAGATCACTGCAGGTAAACAAACAGTGACAAGGTACAAGGGTAGCCCGCACTTAACCAAAGCAGGTTATTTATTATCGGTCCAGGGCAAATGGAGAAACAATAGTTAAGCAAAGCAATCCACCAGAAATGCCAATGAGTGTGCCTTCTGTTCAGGTCTTAACTGAAATAGACTCAGTGTATAAATTGGATAAAACCGTGACAACATCTGGTGGCCTTGAATGAAGTTATGTTATAGTAGCCTAGGTTAGGTAAAGAACCTTTCTGGATATGTCACTCTAAGCCTAAGGAGGCCTGTGTGATAAAGAAGGAAAGGACTTTCACCCCCACTAGAGCCACTCACATGCACACATGTTATTTTAGTCTGTCCTGTGACTCAACTAATCTAGGTCACCCTGAACATAGTACAGCAATTGCAAGCAGTCCATATTAAAAGGTGACCTTGCATTATGGGTGGAGTCAATGCAAGACTTTCTACCCCATCCTTAGATGGGGAAAGTGCCGAAGTATACTTAGACACACACCTTTCTCTCTCTCTCTCTCTCTCTCTCTCTCACTGCCTTTCTACCCCATTATTAACCTGGGATGCCTGGCCTCCTATCCTGTGAAAGGAAGATGAATTCAGGTCAAGCTCAGAGTGCCTGTTTGCTTGCCGAGAGATGCATATCAACTCTAAGTGATTTTTTTCAATACCATTTATGTGGCTTGTATTTATTTCCTTTAATCTTTTAAGTGCTGTTTAGTCTCTGTGTGATTTGCTGTGGATACTCATTTCTGATAAGATGCGATATCCTTCCCAACCACATAGTTCCTGCCTAGAGCCCTAAGTGACTGATAGGGTCGCTGCCTGAGCCTGGGCCTCTGGGGAACAGGGCGGGGGTGGGGAGCAGCTGCTGGGATGAGCAGGCTGTGGGCATTTGTAGGTGCTTCCTTGCCTTCTGGACTCACTCTCACCTCAGACTGCATTCTTGCTCCCTTTCCATATGTCAGCCAGAATATAGACGACCCTAGACTAACAGTGGATTAGGGGAACCTATCAAGTGGGATACTCTGAAGCAGGTTTGGAAGATAGTTGGATTATTATGGTCCCTTGGAACCATGTATGGTAACACACTAAATTTATTTAGGGTTTTCAGGGAAGTACCATATAATGCATGCCCTGATGTGTGTCTTCCTGGGCATTCTCAAATAGCTGAGATGGCATTCCCCACCTCACCTAAGACTTGTACCCCATTAACATATGTCAAGCTTCTTTTGATATCATCACTGCTAATATTTCTCTTCTTAGCTTTAAGGTAACTGCCGTGCATTCCGAGTTTCAAGGGTGCTTCCTCCCAATCTGTGTTGCAGTCAACTCTAAGAATCCAAGGATCCTATTTTTCCTTCTTGACATTACAGCTTTAGCCTGAATTGTGGGGGTGGGGAGAGGAGGGCTAGACTTTTGCCGCTGATGCCCTTGGATGACAGGCTGGGTGCGCATCTGCTAATTATCAAGCAGCTCTCTTAAAAAGAAGCATGATGCAGGCTAATACATCTATAAAGCTTATTAGCGGGTGTCTTTGGGCAAAAGCAGTAGAGTGCGCTGTGTTGTTTGTGAGTGAGGCTTCATATTGCTTAGCGATCTGTGTGGTTTAGACATTTAGAAAACAGCCTTTGGTTTCTGACCCCCTACGCTGCCCTCCCTCCCTGCCCCCCACCACATCATCCAAGATCCCATTCAGTGGCAACCTCCTCCTTCATGCAGGTGCTCTTCTCCGGCTCGGTTCTCCCACCTCACAGCACAGTCTTAATGAGTTAAGAAAGGATCCTGTGTGCACGGCCCCACATGCTCTCCCTCAAGGGAGGTACAGGGACAAGAGCCGAGATGGGCTATGGATCCTTGAGCCAGCTTGCATCAATGTTCCCAGCCCTGACTGATTGAAACATTGGCTGTCAAGGCCTCAAATCCTTGCCCTTCTCCAAGGCTGTTCCTCTGGTGTGCGGGGATTAGGCACCAGCTACATTGGTTCATTTTTAGAATCAGCTGGCTGGCAGCTACTATGCAGCTCTTTCCCATACAACTTTGTTTCTGATTTTGGTTATGAGAAAACCCATTCAATTACTCAGCAAAGTAACTAAAAATTAACTCTAAGAAAAATGATTGAGTGTTCCCATATATGTAATGTATTTTATATACAGATAAATCCTGATTTCTTTCCTTTCTTATGGTAGGGCTTTTACAAACTGGTTTAGTCTGTATCAAGTGCATGTTCAAAGGCTGCAGTGTTAAGGGGTGATGATTTCACCTTTCTTAAGCCGGCCTCTTTGACTAACACATTTGGTCTTTGTCACTGGGTCCTAAAAGACAGCCATGAATTCCTAGTGAGTGACTGAGCCGTGAGTGTGTGTCCTTTGATAGCTTGCCTGTATTTCACAGTCTGCCCTCAAACTGTTCATAATCTCATGAGTTGCCTATATTTCCAGTTGAAGATGAGCCACCATCAACACTGTCCCCCAAAAAAAAGCAGCGGAACGGAGGCATGCGGAACTCACCAAGCTCCTCACCCAAGCTGATGAGGTAAGAAGAGGGGCCACGGCCACGCAGGCCCCGTTAAGCTCCTTCGCCTTCTCTCCCGGCCCCCTCCCCACCCTGCCCAGGCCCAGAGCCTCCCCTCCCCAGCAAGCATGAGGCGGCGGGGGAGGGGACCGATCGTTAGGTGGCTTCTTAAAGGCTGGAGTATTTATTCTGTCAGCTTGTCAGCAGTTAATGATAGAGCTGAAAAAATTCTGTCATGAAAAACAGTTTGAAAAGCTGTTTGAAAAATACATAGGCTTTAAAGTCTTAGCTGTCACCATGTCCTGTCTATGTGTAGTTCCTAAACAGCAGTGGCACTAATGACGGCGGCAACCAATCAGAGGAACTCGTGTGGTTAGTTTGCCTCCGGCAAGTCTCTTTCTGCTGGAGTCCCTCCGAGGACTGTTTTCTGTACTTAAGGCCATATGTGAGATGTATCATCACAATCAAAAATGAACCTGAAGATTACCTTCCTTTTATCCTGTCGATTGAAATCAAATTTCTGTTAATTGATTTTGACTGATAAAAAAGTCTAATAATCTGTGGACTTGCCAAAGCAAAGTTCAAAAGTAATCCAGTTCTGCTCAGGCTAAAAGCAGTATTAATTATGAAATACAGCGTGTGTGTACTCTTTCTCTGTCTTCTTCCTCCCTTCCCCTCTTCCTTCCTTCCTTCTTTCTTTCCTTTCTTCTTTCTTCCTTCCTTTGCTCCTCACTTCCTCTCTTCCTCTCTCCCTTCTTTCCTCCTTTTCCCCCTTCCTTCCTTCCTTCCTTCCTGTCATTCTTTTTATCTTGGCTATGGCTTCCTCTCGGAAATGGCAAATGAAACCAGATTTCAACAGACTTCTGCAGGTTTCTCTTCTGGGCCTCTTGATCTTTCATTTCCCCAGGTTGTCTTCGATTCATCTGCCAATCCTGTGCTTATTTCCTCCAACATCCTAACTCTCCAACACCCTAGTGACAAAGCAGGAGTGACCCCTGAATGATTACAGTCGTGGAAATACCTGCTATCTTGATGTTTCTTTCTTCTTTTTATTGCCATTGACTACTCTCCTCCCTTTGATTACTGAAATAAAATTATGGCCACTCCCCCCTGCTTTTCCCTCCCTCCCTTCACTCCCATCTTCCTGGCCCTCCACGGCCACCCTTCTAGGACATAGACGTGGCAGTCCTCCATGTGGTCGAGGACACAGGTTCCCATGGAAGATGCCCCGTGTCCTTTTCCATTATGATCATCTCTTCCTATTAAATGTTTCCTTACCAGTCTTCTGCCTGCCCGTTCGCTCAGTCTTGCTGGGGTGTTGCTGATTTACATGCTTGTTTACAGTTTATGAGGAGCAATGAAATGCACCAACTGCCAAGCTTCTCATTTTTATGATGCCAGTTGTCATGCTACCATTCATTTCCTATTTACTCACCTTTAGGTAATCGCCTTATCTAATGCTAATAGTTTTATCCCTTTAAAGTAGAGAAAAGCCCAGGCGCTTTCTTTTGCCTAAATTTAGAGAAGCAAATAAATAAATAAAGAGAAGTCTGAAAAATCTGAAACCTTTGGAGCCAAATTCCCTGTCCCTGTTTGCTATGTAAAGTATGGCTCATTTCTTTGATCTTGAGTAATAATAATTCTGAGGCGTTATACTGTTTTCATATGCTTCAAAGCTGTGTCAAAGTTTTGCTGCTTAAGGGTACTTCTTTATTCTGTTGGCTCTTGGGTACCAAGATGACAGGTCTTCTGTATGAGGTGGAAGCTTTTTTAAGTCGTAGCCTTCAGCAAAACATCAAATTACCAAATCCAGGGTAACATACTTCTACACAAATGCCTTTCCTGTAGATATATTATACCATATATATTAAATACTTTAGTGTTACACGCTACATTTTATGTGCAATAGAAAGTGATGGTTTGAGGTAGCCTTGGGGGGACTTTTTTTCCACAAGCAGAAAAAGCTAGTGTATACCGTATCAAGCATGGTTTTTACAGGACTTTCTGCCCGAAGGCCTTTGTAAATAAGTAATGATCAACAGATTGGCTGTGGGTTTTTGAAAAGCATGCCTATGTCAGTTTGCATGATGGGGGAGAATTTTCAAAGTGGGTCTTGCTTTCATTGCCTGTTGGAGAGGGGCTGAGGGAGCAGTCATCCCGGGCTGGAGCTGTCTGCTCCGTGGTACATCAGAATTGCTAAACGTGGGTCAGGCGGTGAGCCGAAACTTGCCAAGCTACGGAACTTGGGTTTCTGGTATTGGCGCCTTTGGGCTACTGCTATGGCCACAGCTACTGCTTTACCCCACCTGCCCACGGTGGTCTCAATTACAGCTCAGCTCGAATGGCCTGTCCCACGAGGAGTCAGAAAGTCTTAGGCACTCCGTCCTTACCATGACTTTCTGTATCCCAAGTGCTCTGGAAGTAAAGACAGGATGCCAAGCCCTCCTTTCCACTTCCGGCATGTGAATGGAGAACCCTTGGGCAGTTTCGTTTGTTGAATACCTGGCACCAGCAGTGAGGTGGCCAGCACCTGTTTCTGTTTTACGTCTCTTGTTGACTGAAAAGCAAGAGAGGGGCTCATGCGGCATCTGGTGGTTGCCCACTAGGTCGCCCCACCTCTTCAAATACTCCCTTTCTCTCTACAGAAGATAGGACTCCTAGGTGCTATTCCTTATGACCTGAAAAATCCATAAAGGAAGCTAATGACTTATTTGAAGTGGGTTTTTCAACATGAGCTTGTGGCTTGCTTGTTTGAGCAGAATCAATCATTCTGAACGTGGAAAGGTTTTAGTGGCCTATGGGCGGTGATAGGAACAGCACCAAGAGAAACTGGAGAGACCAGAATGGGCTACGATGGGCTTTAATTTACCACTGTGGCTTCTGCAAATAAAACAGGCTCCTGCTCAAGGGTTTCTTGCAACCCATCTGCCAGCATGAAATGCTGCCGGGACGCTGCACTAATGGTCTTTGTTTCCCCTTTGTTCTGGTATCAGACTTACCCGGGTTTTTCAATGTCACTTAACTCTCATCACACTCATTAGGTGAACAGCCTCGTTTTGTGTGTCTGGATCCTGATGCACTATGTTTTTTAGTCACCCTGACAGACAACAACTCTCGCAGCCAGACTGAGCCAAGTGGCAACTGTCTGTGCTCCAAACCAGGGATTCCTGTGTCATGACAGATAACTTTGGGCTTCACATCCCCTGAAGGAGGAACAGGCCATGGAGTTTCCCAGATTCTTGTTATTTGCCTTCCTTGTTGGTCTCTTAACATGGAATGATTTAAGGAGCCTCTCCTAGTTTCCCTTTAAAATCAGCAAGCACTCAGTGCCCACTTGTCCCTGCTAGTGAGTCCGTCCTTGGGAGGAAGGCTATGTTCTTCCATTGCAAAGCTGGAGAGGACAAGAACATTGTCTCTAGATAACTAAGTCAAGTGTTTGTAATTTGGGGGTCTCACAGACCCCACTGAATATCAAATGAAAGCTCTCTAGAAAGATTCTCTAGGGGGAAAAAAGCACACTGGGCACCATTTTGACTATAGTTGAAGCAGATTTGTGGATTCCCTCAATCCCTGCCCAGCTTATAATCATAATCAGTTCTTTCCACAGCCACCTTCACAGAGTCGTATTCACCAATGCTGTTAGATCCTAGGAATATTGCTCCATTGGGTAGACAGTACAGAGTAAACGCCTAGGCTCTTGTACTGTATTCTCAAATGGGACCCAAAAATGCTGTGCATTTCAGCTGTCCTTTTCTCAGACTAATTCTCATCCAGCAAATGTTTACAAAACCCTACTGTATTCAAGGCTGGAGTAAGTCTTTGAAGAGTGTAAAGTAAGATGGGTCAGAGTAGGTCTCTGTCTTCAAAGCAGTCACAGTTTAATGTAGGAGACAGATAAGTGTATATGGCAAATTAGAATAGACAGAGCTTGGAGATGTACTAGCATAGGCCGTGAGAACAGAGAGAGCTGCCACTACCTCTGGTTTGGGAGGCTGAGGCTGGTTTGTGAAGGAGGGTTTATTTAAACCTAGCCTTGGGTGATGAGGAGAATTCTCCAGTAATACCAATACATACCCTTGTTCATTGTTTACTGGATGCCAGGCATCATTCCCAGAGCTTTATGCCTGTGAACACACTGAGTCCTAACTATAAGTCCATGAAGAGGAATTACAGTTTCCCCCATTTTACCGATACAGAAGCTGAGGAACAGAGACATAAAGTCTAGTGAATCTTGTGCATCTTCCTTAATTAGGAAGACTGAACCCACGTAGTTTAGTTTCTAAGCCCATATTATGAACTCTTTCACTGTTCTGTCCAATAAAGGAAATAAGGAGAACACTCAGGCCATTGTAGAAGGCTTGGTGTGGTTGGAGCAAGGGGTCCCTGGGGTGGCATAACTGGAGTTGGAAGTATGAGAGTATTCTTGCACCCACTTATGAAGGCCTTTGCCTGTCATAGGCATTGGGAAACCCTTGCAAGTTCTTGAGGAGGCAGTGTTTTGGGAGGATCACTGGTGGCAGTACAAGGAGAAGTTTAGGACTCTCCATCAGAACAGGCTTCTGGAGACATATGTTACATAAATAGAAAAGTGTGAAGAGAAGGCCCAGCCAGCCCCAGCTCTCTGCCAAGGTCCTTTGGATGCCAAGCCACTCAGGGTCTCCTGTAGAATAGTGGACCAGAAGTGGGCCACACTCTTCCCAAGAAGGACACAGGGCATTCCTGATATCAGTTCATGTTACACCTGCTTCACCAGGATCTAGAAAACTTGGAGGAGCAAGATAGAGGGGCCATGAGGCATGACGATTCATGCAGGATGTGTTGGGTAGACAATTTACCAAAAAGATGGCCTGCAGCCAGGCTATCAAGGATAATTGGCTGTGCTGAAAACAGTGGGATTGAACAGGTGAGGGGAGTTCATGTTCCAAGACCCAGAAAATATTAGAGATCACTTTGCTGAATAGGAGGGGAAATATGATTTGAGGAAAACAGAGTATCCTCTTAGGCATTTACTGATCATCAAG